GGTGCCATAGGGATGTAACTTGTTTCTGTCTGTAGCCTGTGGTTTGGTTCTACGTTGTCTCACTTAGAGCGGCCGTTCTCCCTTCTGCACACCTCCTGCACCCGCTTCTCAGCCCCAATCTCGCTGCATCCTCACAGTTCATCAGCGTTTGTTCCATCAATGAACAATGTCTATTTTTTAAGGTCAAAAGTCCCAAAACCAAGGACTGCGTGTCTGTAGGCTCCAGGGAGATCCTTCCCTTTGCCTTTTTCTGTTTCTGGGGCCACGTGGATTCCTCGCCTCGTGGCTCCTCCTCCATCTTCAAAGCCAGCTGTGTCTCGTCTTCAGAAACCTTTCTGTGACCTCTGCTCCCATTGTCACATCTCCTTCTCAGACTCCCCGGTGCCTCCCTCTCTTCCAGCCCTTGTGGTTACATTGGGCCCTCCTGGATCATCCAGGACAACCTCCCAGCTTCAAGACCCTTAATCCCATCGGTGAGGTCCTTCTCGCCATGGGGGTGACATTCAAAGGTTCTGGGAATTAAGTGTGATATCTTTGGGGGGTGGTGACATTATTCAGTCTGCCGCCTCCGAGAACGCCAGCACTGGTGCACTGTAAAGTTTGCGTTTGACACATTACAAATCACAACTGTCCTAGGCCATAAATTTGACCTTAATGTTAATTGTTCAGGAAGTCTGTGATCATTTTGGTTTTAACTTCTTAGAATTAGGGAGGACTTTAAGGGAATTAATATGAACACCTCAGGTTTTTTAAAAAGCTATTCTAACAGGGTTGAATTGATGTGAGTTGTACTAACTGGGCTACATTATCATATCCTAGTCCTTAAAAATTAATTAAAAGTAGTTAATTCAAGTGAAGATTGATCCAGCTTTTTTCCTTTTTGTTTCTGGTATCTACCACAATCACAACCATCAATTCCTCACAGCCTTCTTCCTGGGAAACCCATAAAAACAGTTACTAATGTTCAGGGACTTGGCTGTCATTCTCGGGTGTTGCTCCTAGATTTGCTGAAGTTGGCATTAGATGGGCACTGTTGCCAGCTGGCATTTACAGGAGTGACACTGCAGGCCAGGACGTGCCGGAGGGTGGGCAGGGCTTGGTTTAGACGAACGTTTATCTAGTTATCAGGAGATTTGCTATAAGTTGGTGAGAGGAGCGCATCCTTGCACGAGAGGTAAGTAGCGACATTGGGCAATAGTGAGTCACTGTCTGATGTATTCCGTTTCGGTGATCTCAACAGTATGTGCTTATTCAGAGACAGTCTGGAGTCTCCTGGAATGCCATTCGGACCACTTTAAGGAATAACTAAAATTACCCATTTTTGTATTTTTGTGTTTTTTCCCCTATTGGGAAGTGTTTCCTTTGGAGACATGAAGTAATTTAGAGAAATAAAAATAATCACCAGAGGGTGTTATTCCGACTCCAGGCTCCTCCCCTTCACTAGTCCCCAGGGGAACATGTCACCAACAGGCAGCTGCTCGCCGGCTTTTATTGCTGGATTAGAAAAGACACGGCACAGGGACGTGAGGACGCCTGTGAGCCGCGGTGTCCGGGTCTCTAAGTAACACGTACCCAGGTTCTTCTCGCTGTTTCCCGGTGGGACCCTCTGCTTCCGCGGGAGTCCTGCACAGGGACTGAAGGACTCGTGCTTGTAGTTGTCTTGCAGACCGGAGAGAGCGCGAGCGAGTGCTTCTGTCTGCGGTGCCCGGCGGTGGGGAACGTGGAAGGTGGCGTGGCCACGGGGCATTACGTGATCTGCTGGAAGAGGTAAGATATGTCAGCGCTGTTGCTCTTCACCGTCTGCTGTTCTAATGGCTTAGTTGTTCCTCGTCGTCCTTTAGTAGCTGGGAGCTTCTGTCAGTCCCGGAAGGAGGCTGGCAGCCACAGGCTGTCACTGCCCATGGTCACGTCCACGAAGATGAAGGATCATTGCACTTCCGTCGGTGTCTTGTCACAATCCGTGACCTATATTCTGAGGGAGTCTTACCAAACTGATTTTGATGGTTGGACCGTTAGCACATTAGGGGAAACTGCCCTTACTTGCAGTGAACAGGATTGCCTACGTAGCACACCCAGGGGAATCAACAAATTGTTAGAGTTATAAGCGTTCCGGCGAGGTTGTGGGTTTAACGTCGGTATACAAGGGCAGTTGGATTTCTGCACGTCAGGAGTAAACCTTAGCCAGTTGGTGACTGTCCATGGTCCGTTTTGATTGATTGACTTTGCACGTGACATGTGACTGAGGGGCCCTTCTCCGCAGGACCTCGGCCGCGGACAGCCTCCCTGCCATCAGCACCGCCATCACCCTGCCGCACGTGATCGTGGAGAGCATCCCCCTGCACGTGAGCGCAGGTAACGCATGCAGGCCCCCGGGCAGAGGACCCCAGGAGACGGGTGTTCGGCTGCTAAGACTTTTAACATCTTTTGATTATGAAAAATCAAAAGATGTTAAAAGATGACATTTACCAAAGTGGGCTGTGAGCAGTCTCGTTTCACGTGCCTCTACACACTCCTCCTACCCCATCATTTTGAAGCAAATCCAGATATCATTTCATCTCTAGATATTTCAGAGTGTATCTGTAATATGAGTGGTTATTTTTCTAAACCTCATCAGAATACCATTGTCATGACTTTAAAAATTGGCAAAATTGTCTTAATATTATCGAATTCTAGTGTTGAAATTTCCCTGGTCGACTAAATGTTCCTTATGTGCCTGCGGTCTCTGCCACGCATAGTTTTGCAACTGGGAGGCAGGTCGACTCCCTCTCCCCCTCCAGGGCCATCGCCTTCCACACGTCACCTCCCCTCGGCCTTGCTGTTTGTTTACCGAGGGGCCGAGCGGAGCTTGCTGCAGGCTGGACTTTGCTGATTGCACTGCATCATTGCTAAGTGTTTCTGTGCCCTATAAATTGGTAGTTCGATCTGTAGGCCTGGTCAGATTCAGGTTCAAGTTCGGGGCAGGAATACGTCATAGTCCATGGTATGTGCTCCCATCAGTGGCACGGGATGTCTGCCATCCCTTTTTGAACCACGGTTGATACTTGGGGAAACCTTTGGTAGATTTTAAAATTATTCCTAAAATATAATTCAGCTCCTGACAGCCAACGCCCTTTCTAAGTCAGTCACTTTCAAAGGAGATGTTGAATCGTCTTCCCCTGTTTTTTCATAGTCCTGTGGCCTTTTTCAATCGGGAAATTTTATTTAGCAAGAGCGCAGGGATACTGATAGTTTAAATAAGCCCGTGTCTTGTAGAAGGAGAGTCATTTGCAAGACGACCCCACAGAGGGTGAGCTGTTTTCTAACCAAGAGGATCGTGTCCTCCCTGCAGACCTGCCGTCGTTTGGCCGAGTCAGGGAATCGCTGCCCGTCCGGTATCACCTGCAGAACAAGACCAGCCTGGTTCAGGACCTGGAGGTCTCCGTGGAGCCCAGCGACGCCTTCATGTTCTCGGGCCTTAAGCAGGTACAGTTCGCATCTCACTGGGATGCTCCTGTAGACACCAGGTGTGGCAGGGCGTGGAGAGCTGTGCACGTGGGCTGATAAGACTGACTGTGGACCTGGGATTCTGATAGGAGTGCATTTTCAGTCTCTTCTGTGGATTGAGTACATTGTTACAGAGGCGGGATCAATGGGCAGACCTTCTCACATTGCGATCACGTGTATAGTCCTTTCTCCTTGAAAACAAGAGCTCACAAATCCTTGGGCTGTATAATGGGATTCCTGAAAATCTTAGATTTCCCTTTAATGACTAATGAGTGTGTGTGTGTGTGTGTGTCTGTCTGCTTTTGAGGCCTGGAGTCATGACTACCTATATTAAAATGCCTAATTCTCTTCAGCACTGCCAGTGCAGTGTTTTGTCATCAGTAAGTACTTTTTATTAATAGAACATAATTAGAGGAACAAATGTGTCATAACACCTGGAAGTACATACCCTGACTAGTCATCTGTGCCCTGCGTATGCGAAATAGAACTATATATGATGCATACTCTAGTTCATACACTAATTTAAACTTTTACACAGTAAGTATAATCTTAGCTCTGGTATGTTGGTACATGTACATATATTATCTGTGGCATGGACCTGTATGCACTCATTTGCAAATGAGTAAGCTTTTCTTGCATGTCTTCATCTTTTTCACGTATTAACTTAAAAATAATTGGGTCATGTAAAATACCAAAATCTTACCAGTTTGTGTTCTTTTCTAAAGTATTGTTAAAAATTTGTAAACATCTTTTTCCCCCTGAAGTTACTCACCTTAACAAAATTCCTAAAAAAAAACCCACAAGAAACAACTAGTGTGTCTTATGTTGACATCATGTTTACAAAGGTACTTTTCTGTAAATTTATTCTTACTATTTTGTGACTGCACTCTACCTGGCCTACGACACAGAATATATCGCTCTGTCGAGTGTGCTCATTTTTAAGCTGGTATAGTTGCCTTTTAGGTCTTGGTAGACAGAAATCATGTGCATAGTTTTTAATATGTTTTTACTGATTTCAGACAGACACAGGGAGAGGGAGAGCGAGATAGAAACACCAATGAGAGATGTGAGAGAATCATTGATCGGCTGCCTCCTGCACGCCCCCTACTGGGGATTGAGCCCACAATCCCGGCATGTGCCCTGACCTGGAATCCAGCTGGGGACCTCTTGGTGCATTGGTCGATGCTCCACTCCTGAGCCACAGCTGCCAGGCTCATGCATATGTCTTACACACGTATCATCCGTGTGGTACTAATTCAGCCTTACCTTTTGGAATCTATGGAGGATGGACTGGGGGAGAGAAAATATTCACCAGAGAGATTTGGGTGTCCAAACATTTGTAAATATTCTAGGGGTGACGACAAAGATATTGCAGATCTGTGTATCTGATTATCTATGATTTTTGTGATTTAGATTCGGTTACGGATCCTACCTGGCACCGAACAGGAAATGTTATACAACTTCTACCCTCTCATGGCCGGATACCAACAGCTGCCATCTCTCAACATCAACTTGCTTAGATTTCCCAACTTCACAAACCAGCTGCTCAGGCGTTTCATACCGACCAGTATTTTTGTAAAGGTAAGGCTTGGACATCTGCCTTTTAAATATACTGTCTTGAAAACAAACAAAAGATTTGTTTTCCATGTAAACATCGCTAAACAATAATTTGAGACTAACAGTGATAGTTGTGATTTTTACCCTCTGAATTTGGCAGTATTGCTATCCATTTCTATAAAGTTACTATATTTATAGAATCTGATTAAAAAAATGTTTATTCCCTTAGGTAAATGATTTATCTTTATAGTATCCTTAAGTGTGTTTTTTCTTTGGCTTGCATAAAGTATGTTTGTAAATTATAGTTAACTTGTAACTAATTTTTAATCAAAATGGACTAACTTTCTAAATATGATCACTGAATTCTCCTGATTCTCTCGATTTAACGGTGTAATACCAAATTGGGGTCTTTTTTTATTGAATTTATTGGGTAACATTGGTTAATAAAGTTATATAGGTTGAGTCTTTTCTGAAAATGGCCATCTATTGGGCACTGTACTGTGGTTTACTGTTCTGATTACTCCAAGTTCCTGCAGTAAGAGACTGTGGGTGGTCATAGTGTGTGACAGGGAGGTGGCCACACAGATGGATCGTGTAGCTCGCGCTTCGCCTCCCAGTCAGCCACTCGCAGTGCCTGAGCCGAGGCTGCCCCCCGATAGGCTGTGCTCCCCACTAGGCAGATGTTCTCAGCATGTGTGATCCCCTCTTCTTTTCCATTGGTGCCCGTTTGGGAATGGCGGGTTCCATTGCACAGTTTCCCTTTTCCTGTCTGTCACGTTTGGGGGAACTGGGCCTTGTTTCTGTTACCCGGGACTTGGTAAATTACAAGTTAGTTTCTGCTTATGTGTCCTTCATAATTTCTCTAGCTTTTATTTTTCTAGGTTTACACACTTTTTTGCATCTGCAGAAAAATTGCTTTATTAACCCTTCCAAGCTTTTATCCTATTCCATACTTTAAATTGTTTAAAACGAAACGAAACAGAAAAGCCATATTCATGATTTTAGATCTCTAGTGTCTAAATAGTTTTGGATTCACAGCGAAATTGAGAGGAAGGTAGAGATTTCCCATATGCCCTCTGCCCCACCAACCGTGGTGATAGATTGGCAGTGGCGCTAGAACACCAGGTGGCTGAGGTGGGGTCGGCAGGTGGAGGTGCCTGATCAGCTGGGGGTGTCTGCAGGGGTCAGAAGGAACACGGGACCGAGCACACAGTTGCCGGCCCCAATTCAAGTGAAGAAAGAAGCCGAGATGAAAGGCAAATACATTTATTTTGGTATTTGCACATGTTTATACTGTTTTTGTGAACAGTTCCAAGAATTTAAAAATCCTTTCAATTAAGAGAGCTTACGGGTCACTATTACTCTGTAAACCATCTTGTTTTCTCACTTCGAAGCCACAGGGCCGACTCGGGGACGACGCCTCCATCGCCGCTGCGTGACGTCCTGCCGGGCCTGGCCGTGCTCGCAGACGCTGGACAGAGCTCCCTGAGGCTTTCATTCCGAGCTGTAGCGTTGATCGTGGTGAACGTTAATCTTTATTTTTTAATGGATGTTATACCATCTATTCAGAGGAACTCGTGCATAAGATATTTAGCAAAGCCTATCCTCTGCGTAGTTTCACTAATAAATCTTTGAAATCCTGTCAGTGCTACGTGACAGCTGTCGTACCATTAATTGGGTGAAAGTCATTTGTGAATAGGAAAGTCTTTTCCAACGTAGTGAAGTGCATGTGCACTTCCGGAAAACCCCGTCCTTTTTGTTATTTTTATTCGAGGGGGAAGCCACAGGGCCCCTTGAAAGCTCTTC